GGTACTCCGGGTTTAATAATGACATCGGGACGTCAGTCATCTCAGTCCCCCGTGACCATGGGTGCTGGAAAACGCCCGAAACGTCGGGAATTAAAAATAATAGTAAAATAAACGTGATAAAAACCGTAAAAGTAGTTTTAATCAATGTGTAGTGTTCGCGTAAATATAAGAAATCATAATTTTGACCTTACTTGACTTTACCAATGCATTTAGCAATGGTGATTTCGATCTTCTATTTGCTATCTTAGTTTCTCTTAACATATCTCTTGAAGTGATTGGTTTCATAGTTATTTGTTTGGTAAGTTGGAATGCCTCCTTTCCAGTAAAAAGGGTCTCCGGTTCTCTATACTCACCATACGAAACACAGCAATGTTAAGCTGCTGTTTTGATATTCTGTGAGAGCGTGGTCCTTCCCTGGTAGAGCTGATCCATTCGTGCTACAATTATACTACTAATATAGCTGTAGTATGCCTCTACCACGTAAATCGCTCTGTCTTTTTTTCAATTTTCGAAGTTCGTTTACGCTCCAATTATCTTCTCGCTACCATATGTGTGTATGCCAAAATGGTGGATTTACCCAAAATTATAGGTTTCTTAAACAAAGATCTTGACTTAATTGTGGATTGAAGTAAATCATATCATCTTAAAGTAAATATATCAAAAACAAGGGCAATAATAATAGGCATCGAAAATTTGTTACTCTTATAGATTTTCCTACTCTACTTGGTATTGTTTTTGATGGGACACCCGTGCCTTATAGTAACACCGTTCCAAATCTAGGTGTTACTTTTGATAAATTTTAATCTTGGGTTCTGCAGGTAAGGGAGGTTTAGGGGGGGTGTTTACATCGGCCGTTGCTCAACCTAAAAATTCCGTCCCATAATACTTCATTCTATTCTAAATCTTTTATATTGACGCTGTTCAGCTCTAGAGCTCCCTATCGCTGCACATTAGAAGTTTTTTTTTTAATAGGATAAGGGCGATGCATTAGCAATCTACTGAAAGGTTAAAAAATTCTCCGTAAAAAGTCATTCCTCTATCTCTCCTGATTACATTCATTTAAAAACTACTACCGTCCTACGTTAAGGCCACTTACTTCCTTACGTTAAGGCATTTCACAGTTCACTCGGAGCGATCGGCGCGGGCGGTTGACTGCGCTCCCGTCCCCGTACGGTGAGTGCCTCTCGCCCTCACGTCGTCTCGTCACTTCCGCTAGTGCCACCACACCGAGCAGCTGTGCTAGTTGACCGTGCTCCCGCACTCCCATCCCCGTACGACGAGTGCCTCCCACCCTCGCGTTATCTTTCCTCCAGTGCCGCCGCCCCCGAGCGGTTGTGTCAGTTCATCATTTTTAGTGCCGTGGCCCTGGAGCGGTAAGTACCTCTCACGAAGTCAAGTCATTTCGCTAACGACGCCGCTCCCGCGCGGTTGAGTTAGCAGTAGCGTCCTCCAGTCGACGTACGGTGAGTGCCTCTCGCTCCCGCACCTTCTGCAATATCTCGTAATCTGCCTTAGTTAGGCACACTTCTCAGCGCCTATTCTCCGCCTGCGCCCCTCTTTCACCAAATCGCTTCCGTTATGGCTATACGATTTTAACAAGTTAAAGCCAGTCTCACAGGTGGTGTTTAGTGGATAAGGCACTGAGGTTTCTCACATACCACGCAGCCGGCTGCGTGGTATGCTTTGATCATTCACCACAGCCCTCTCCCACTTCCCGGAGGGTGGGCCTTATTTGCTTCTGGGCGCAAAAAAAAGACTTTTATTTCACTTACTTGTTTAATCCTTTCTGTTCTTGTACACGTATTATTATATTTTTGTAATTAAAATGTATTAATTTATTATATTACGTATGTATTTATCGATTGTACAATTATATTTATGTCGTGTGTATTTTCTAACAACCTACATATACTCTTACCCTTCGTCATTATATCCTCTGCAATGTGGTTACCTGGTAGCCTGGTAGTCCTGGTAACCTTTAAATAGTTTGTTGATTTTTCTCTCTCTTATGTTTTTCCGGTGTATAGTAAAGTATATTTTATTCATTCAAGTATATATTTATAATTCAGTTGATAACTTTTTAGAGAGATAAAATAGGTACTTTACTCAATTTATTTTATTTAGAGCCGTTTTTCTTAATCATTTTATTTTGTTTTAAATTCAGAGTACAATGAATTTATTGAAACGATATCCGTAGTAATCCTTTTTAATTGTTGGAAGGATTCACCATAATCGACATGTTTGGCAAGCTATCCAATCCACTCTTGCACACTGCTACATATCGAAACAATTAAAAAATCTGTGTGGTGTTTTTCACAGTTACGTCTAATGACACGCCCAATAATCGAAATGAAGTGATTGTTTATTTTAAGCCCCCAGTATTTATGCACCCCTATTGTAAATTACCTTGATGTAGGAGTTACAATGGGCGGCCTTATAACTTTCTTTACCAGTCAACCCTGGAAGAAATAGATGAATAACAGATTGCACCTGCAATGGCGCCTGTGTGGCTGGCTTGTGGAGTCTTGGCTCTGGCGGTGCACGGTACACTTGTGACATTCCACTACAAGCTCTCCCTCGACACGTTAGATAATTAATTCGTGCAAACGAATTAATTATTATCCTCAATTACAAAATTAGCCTCAGTACAATTTATAGTTGATTAGTTCTGTTCTTATCAATGTAATCTATATATTTCATAATCGTATTTAATGATATTTTGTTATTTTTTTTATTCCACAACAACTAAAATACATACTAAACAAAGTTCATAAATACAGTGCAACATAAACCTATATAAGATTTTTCTGCACACTGCAGTTCGCCGTCTTTCGAGCGCAAACATTTTAATATTATTTAGAGTAAGAAGGTAGTTCGCTCATTTATATAAAAATAACATGAGGATGAGTTATAGTGGCTATTTAGTTAGAGTAGTATGGTATGTTTTGGGAGTAAGATCTTGGAGCCCAAGCCAACCCCGCCTGCACGTGGTGCACCTGCTGAACAACGGAAAGGGCTCTGGCGATGCCACTCCTCTGCGATTCGTCCTAGGGGTTCGGGGGTCAGACGGCAGTCGCCCCGGTAATTGGCACTAAGCCACTCAAAAATGGAAAGTAAAAGAAAGAGATATACGTTTTTTCACTGTACTGGTCATATACTATCTGACTGGCGTGATGTGTCAATTGGCGTCCCTCAAGGCAGTATTATCTCTCCTCTTCTGTTTTCCATTTTTATAAATCTCATTACACTAAATCTCAAGAGCTCTTACCATTTGTATGCTGATGATCTGTAGTTATATGCGCAAGTGGAACCTTCAAATATCCTAAGTGCTATTTCACTGTTAAATGATGATTTGAAATATATCTCAGAATGGTCTACTGTGTATGGCATAAACGTGAACCCGTCTAAATGCCAAACGATAATCTTAAGTAGCTCAAGATTATTATCTAAACTGGATATTCCCACCCTACCATCAATTATGTTTAATAATAATGTCATACCATTCTCTACTGCTGGCCGTATGAGGACGCTCAAAGTCGCTCAGCGAGCTATGGAGAGGGCTATGCTCGGAGTTTCTCTGCGTGATAGACTCAGAAATGAGGATATCCGCAGTAAAACCAGAGTGACCGACATAGCCCAACGGATTAGTAAGCTGAAGTGGCAATGGGCCAGCCATATAGCTCGAAGAACCGATAACCGATGGGGAAGAAAGGTTCTCGAGTGGCAGCCTCGTACCGGTAGGCGTATCGTATGTTCAGCAGTGGACTTGTGAATGGCTGTAATGATGGTTCTCTACTAACGTAAAGAACCTTGGTCTGTACATCGATGATTGCTTAACATGGAACAAACATATACAGGAGGTGAGTCGCAAAACTACTGGAACTTTGCGATCTCTATATCGATTTAAAAACTTTCTTCCCACCAATACCAAGATTTTACTTGTCCAGTCACTTATTGTACCGATTATTGATTATGTCGATGTGTGTTGCTCAGACCTGTCTCAACTTCATCTTAATACATTGGATCGTTTGCTTAACAACTTCATCAGATACATTTATATTCTTCGCAAATACGAACATGTATCTTTCTTTCGTACACAGTTAAACTGGCTGCCTATCCGTCAGCGCAGATATGTTAGAATACTCTGCACCCTTTTCTCAATTTTGAACGATCCATGTGCTCCCGAGTATCTGAAATCTAAGTTTCAATACCTGGGAGATTCTCATAATTTTTCTCTCCGTTCCTCGGCCAATCTTAAGTTGCTCACTCCTTTACACCGTACTGGTTATTTATCTCACTCTTTCGCCCTCATGGCCATCAGACTCTGGAACGACATTCCTCTTGATATTAAAAAAGCTCTTAAAAATCAAGTCCGTAAGTATATGATTAAATCGTTACAAGTTTGAATTAACTCAGCTCTCTTTTTCGTATATTTTTCATATTTGTTCTAACCTATTGTGTATGTATATATATATAGATATATACTTATGTGTTTATGTGTATATAGTGTATGTATGTATGTATATATATTCAATTATATATTTATATATGTATATATGTATATGTATGTATGTATATGTGTGTATATAATATATATGTAGTGTTTATTATATACACATAAACACATAAGTATATAGATATATACTTAGGTGTTTATGTGTATATAGTGTATGTATGTATGTATATACATTCAATTATTTATGTATATATATATATGTATGTATATATTTGTGTATATAATATGTATGTATTGTTTATTATACATATTATTATTTCTTTTATCCTTTCTATTTGATTATTGCTGCACCGCCTCCATAATGTCTATCTCTGTTTAGCCTAATGGTTGACTGGGAGAGAATGCCCTATGACATTAAGTCCGCCATATGTACTTTTTTGTGCATGAAAGCATAAATAAATAAATAAATAAATAAAATACGTTTAGGACTAGGGCGTCGCCGCATAACGACGCGCATGGGGATCGCCTTAACCCTGCGACAAGTATGCGAGGGCTACCGGGCCCCGTGCGAGCCCGGCTAAAGATGTTAGCACCAACTATGAAGATTCGCTTTGCAAACTGGAACATTGGCACGCTTACGGGATGCTCCACAGAACTTGCGGCCACTTGCACCATACTTGCCAGGCGTAAAGTGGCAGTGGCGTTCCTGCAGGAGACACGGTGGAAGGCCAACAGGAGCCGGAATATTGGGCACGGCTACAAGCTGATCTATAGAGGCTCTTCTGGTGGGGAGAACGGTGTGACAGTGGAGCTCGCCGAGCATTTCCACGATAGCGTCTTGGAAGTTAGACGCATATGCGACTGACTTATGGTAGTAAGGTTGCTTGTTGAGGGGGTCGTGACCCACTTAATAAGTGCCTACGCCCCACAGGTCGACTGCAGTGACGGGGATAATACGCTGTTTTGGGATCGGCTCGGAGATATACTACGCAGCATACCGTTGTCCCACGATGTCGTGTTGGGTGGCGACCAGAACGGTCATGTGGGCGAGGTGCAGGGGGAGTATGAACGTGTCCACGGCGGCTATGGTTATGGCCGAAGAAATGCAGAGGGGGAAACCATTCTCAGAACCTGCACTGCAGCTGACCTGGCTGTCGTGAACACGTTCTTCAAAAAGGAAACCGAGCACCAGATTACCTACAGAAGCGGTCGGAACGCCACTTAAATCGACTATCTACTGACCAGGAGAAGTCATATCAGTCGCGTGGCCAACTGTAAGGTCATACCCGGTGAGTGTCTCACTGTCCAACACGACTTCATGGACCTCTGCGTAAAACCCCGTCGCAAACACGCCGAACGTTGCCGCCGTCGAATCAAGTGGTGGCTGCTGGATCAAACCACATACTCAGGGTTTGACTCTGCCGCTGGGGATATAAGTCTCGACACAGCAGGCAAGTCCGTCCAAGAGTGCTGGAAAACCATTCAGACAACAATCACAAAGACGGCAAAGCAAGTCCTCGGCGTGGCGAAAAGGGGTCGCAAAATTGACAAGGAGACCTGGTGGTGGGATTCCACAGTCCAGGGTTCATTACAGGAGAAGAAAACGCTCTTCAAGACGTGGCAAGCGACCAAATCTTCTGAAGATCGCGCATCTTACAAGACAGCGAAAAGAGCTGCCAAGAAAGCTGTAGCCAGAGCCAGGCGTGACCACTTACAACCATTATGTGCTTGCTAAGTTGGACACTCCTGAGGGGCACAAGCTCGTATATAAACTTGCGCGTTCTAGGGCCAAAGCAGCGCAAGATATTACTCGCTGCTGCAGCGTCAACGGCCCTAATGGCGAGCTCCTGTACGAAGATCGTGCGGTGAAGGAGAGATGGCGCTCTTATTTCCACGTTTTGCTGAATACTCAGCACCGGGAAGTGCACCCTCCAACTCCCGAACCATGGACTTGTGCCACCGATTACGCCTGACGAGGTCCTCGCATCTCTTCGTCACATGGAGAATCGGAAAGCTGTTGGACCGGACGAGGTGCCAATTGAAGCGTGGAAAGCGCTGGGGGCTCGTGGTGTGTGCATTCTTACTAACCTTTATAATAGAATCCTGAGCGACCGAATAATGCCCGATCAGTGGCGGCTTAATATAATAACGCCGGTTCACAAGGGTAAAGGGTCCGTTCAGGATTGCGGTAATTACCGCGGTATAAAGGTGACGTCACACACCACGAAGCTCTTCGAGCACATTATTGACACCAGGATCCGACAGGAGTGTACAGTATCGGACTTCCAGTACGGTTTCCAACCAGGACGCGGTACCATGGACCCTATATTCGCCCTAAGGATCCTCATGGAGAAGTATAGGGAAAAGAATATGCCTCTGCATTTTTTATTCCTAGACCTGCAGAAGGCCTTTGACTGTGTTCCTAGGGAGATGATCTGGTGGGCGTTGCGGTCGAAGTTGGTATCAGATACCCACGTGGAAATCGTGCGTGATATGTACCGCAACTCCGATTCAATAGTCAGGACCGCTGTTGGTGATACCACCCCCTTCCCCATAAACGTAGGCGTGCATCAGAGCTCCGTCTTAAGCCCCTATCCCTTCAGTGTGATATTAGACGAACTGTCAGCCAGCGTACAGAAACTACCGCAGCCTTGGCGGCTTATGTACGCTGATGATATCGCACTGGTAGATAGGGACAAAGGACGGCTCACCAGACGCGTGCACGCATGGAGGGAGGCGCCTGAGAACGGCGGGCTGAAGCTAAATGTAGCGAAAACGGAGTATATGGCTTGCAACAGCACAGATCTGACGTCTCTCCGTATAGGCGACGACACCATCGAACGCGGAGACAACTTCAGGTACCTCGGATCTGTGCTTGATGCGTCCGGGGACGTCGATCGCGACATCAAGACCCGTATATCAGCGGCCTGGGCGAAATGGCGCGAGGTGACGGGTGTTATTTGTGAACCCAATGCCGGTCAATCTGAAGGGACAGGTTTATAAGACCATCATAAGGCCTGTCCTTACGTACGACATTGAAGCGTGGCCGGTGCTAGAGCGACACTGGCAGTTGTTGCATGTCACGGAGATGAACATGCTGCGGTGGATTTGTGGCGTTACGCGGAAAGATCATGTACGGAATACATACATCCGCGGCAGCCTCCATGTCCGTGACATTGCTGACAAGCTCCAGGAAAGTCGCCTCCGCTGGCACGGCCACGTCTTACAATGACCGGCAAACTACGTGGGAAGCAAATGCCTGGACATGACCCTACCTGGTACCAGGAGAAGAGGACGGCCCAAGAAACGCTGGCTTGATGTCGTGCAGGATGACATGAGCGCCAAAGGGCTAGTTGCGAGGGACGCCGAAGACCGGGCAAAGTGGAGGAGGAAGTGTAGGAAAGCGGATCCTGGGTTCTCCGGGCGACTTCCCGAAACGTTTGAACCGACCGTTCCATGTTCCGTGTTTGTTCCGGTTCCCGGAACCGATGTGAAGCATCAACGTTCCGGGAAGTCTGCAGTTTGCGATCATATCCTAGACGGCCCCAACCATTACATCAGATTTGATAGACCACAAATCCTCGCGAAAGAACACAGATTCCTACCAAGGATGATACGTGGGGCTATTGAAATTAAAAAACATCCTAATTTTAATAGAGAAGGAGGCTGGGTACTACCACCTGCTTGGGAATTAAAAATAAAAGTAACTAAAAGTAAAATAAACGCGATAAAATCCGTAAAAGTAGTTTTAATCAACGTGTAGTTTTCGCGTAAATATAAGAAATCATTATGGAATTAACTCTATTTAAAAGAAAAGTCCCGCTGGGATTCTTGCTGGTTCTTCCCAGAACAGAGGTTTTTTTTTTCGAACCGATGGTAGTAGTATATTGAATAAAAATGATTCTATTCTAAAAATGATTATATTATTAAAGGTTTTTAGCCTTTTCTTGTGACTCTACATTTTAATCACTTCCTACATATTTATTTTTATATTTTTTTATTAACTTGAATACAAGAATGGAGACATACCTAAATAAAACAAAATGTAAAATAGTGTCTTGATTAAAACGACTCATAAAAACAAAGTGATTTTAATTAATGCCGATAAACCGGAAATTCTTTTACAAAAACAATATCCCTGTCGCATTTACATAACAGAAGAAACAAACAGCTATTGTTTCGGCTCCAGTGTTTGCAGAGCACATTAAAAGCAAGGCACATTAAATTCTCGCGTTAATCGAGTTTTTCAATCGGATCGCAAAATATATTTACATGTTTGTCGAAAATCCGTTTGTCGTACCGATGGTTTCTCCTAACATTAAAACCTTGATCTAAATTATACCTTAAAGTAGGGCTTATTAGTGGTAAGCGTAACAGAACCCATCAAAACATTTATTCCTTTCGAGTCGTGGTAGGTAGTTTTGGGAAATTCCAGAAAGTTTTCATGGCTGCGATAAATCGCACCTTAATCTCGTATATATGCTAGAAGTTAAATCCCATCAAAAACATAAATGTAAAAAGGGAGCCACGTTCAAACTCTGACCGCAGAAAAAAAGAAGAAAAGTAGGGAAAAGTAGGGAGTAGGAAGAAAAGGGGATTTTCCGCCGGGCAAGGTATTCAGCCTGGGGCGTAGTCAACACTCTGCGAGGTAGTTTGAAGCTTTTCTATATATACCGCATTACTTCGGAACTTTGATAGCGTGATTTATTCTTCAATGCATTTCGCTAGTGGTGCGACGACAGCGCCGCCGCAAAACTACATGTCGATTTTTACTTACCACACCAATAACTATGTTGACGGATAGTTTCTCATTGTCAGATTTTTTCTTGATGCTGTGGTCTCTATATACCACAAATGACGTTGATGTCATAGGATAAACCCGTCAAACAAACTTGGGTCCGACGTTACAGAGCTGAAAATTGGCCACTAATCAGAGCATTTAGAAAGGTTTCATGAGCTCAATTGTCATGGCAGCCAACAATGGCTAAATTAGTACAATCGTGCAATACCCTTTAAGTTATGCTTTATATTTTGCGGTGTTATTATATAAAGTGTGGGCAGTAGTAGTTAATAATAAGTTAGTAGTAATTATCTTTACAGAACATATTGCTCTATGAGATTATCTTACTCATTTATTTTCCTACACTGCGCAAATGGCGGACACAAGTGCGCACTGATGTAAGCCATCGCGACGCAATTATTGTATGGAACTACGTAGAAATCGCGCGCGTACCCGTAACGGTTAAAGCTCGAAACAAATTATCGGACGCGGCTGACAGCAGCGACTTATACGTATCTAGATAATGAATGTACACTGAGCTGTGCAAACTATCGGAGGTAAGTCGTGGACGTGACCTTAGCCTGACTTTGAGCGTTCGGACACCCGACAGAAATCTAGCACACTGGATGTTTTGTCTGACGAAAACGTCCACTGACGATATGCGACACGTACGTACGCCAGAAGGACGCGGACTACGCGAGAGCTTGCATGTGCGCATCTACGTAAAAATGGATGAACGAATTATCGAGTGTGTTCTCAATCAAGTATGTATTAGTCTATATCCGAAACAGAGACTTACTGTATAATCATAAATAAAATGTGGATACAAAGAGTGGAATTCACCAGACTTTGTTCATTCTTTATTTGTGTCGTTGTAACCCAAGCATTTTTTTTTTTGTTTTCTTTCCGTGTAGACAATATAAAACTGCCGCCGCTAATTCGAGAAAATCGTCCTCACTTTAACTACTCGACATGTTTCTTTGTTGAAAGACGTTGGAACGCGTCCGCAACCAACGTTCCTTGAAGACTGTGCACACTTATCAGTCGCGGCTGTCAGCCGCGTCCGTCAGCCGCGTTCGATAATT